AAGAGGGCGGGTACAATGCTAGTTTACTATTGGCTATTGCAAATTGAAATAGCCAATAGTAAACTCTCAATGCATTTGAATGGGAATTTTTTTTTTTTATTCTGTTCTGTTTTCTGTTTTATTTTTTTTATTCTATTCTGACATCGCTCGTGCCAGAATGAAGAAAAAAAGACACAGCTGTGTTTCTCTCCTTGGCGGCCAGGAGCGGGGGGCTCCCGGGGCCCCAGGGAAGCAGCGTTGTGAATAGACCCCATAGATCTTCTGCTTATATTCTAACACCCCCACACAGCACAGGGCTGTTATGGGCATTGCTGTCTTGGTTTCCTCTCGGCAAAATGAGAATAATCAACATCTTCTAATCTTAGATCTTCTGCTTTTACTTTACCTAATTCCCCCGCCAGGTCCTCTTAATGCTTTCTAAAGTAATGTGGTTAAACATAAACAGGCTAAGACAAACCGTCTGCCATGTCACATATGGGAGAGGGAGAGTGGAGTGAGATTTCAGTGCAAGTTGTTCTGGCTATGAAATTCCAGATTGATGAGCAAATTTACCCACCAATTCAATGTCTACCAAAACAGTTAATTTTAGGTAATGCCAACGGTCAAAGTTGTGTGCCTGTGTCAACTCTCAACCGAACTTTCATGACCCTCTATTGGTGCTAATGCTGATCACATGTGCAGCAACTGCAATTCAAATAGAGGCCAAGATGGCACCTTCCTTGGCTGTAAAGCATAGGAGGTTGTAGTTCCGCTTTAAATAACTGCTTTGTGCCTGCATGTTTTGGAATCAAGGGTAGCTTACTTAGGAGGTATATCCATGCTCACCCCTTGTTTTAAATAGCCCTACTCGGGGGTTAAGAATATTTTTTTCCTTGGAGTTCTGCTTTAGGCCTGAGTTTGATTTCTATAGCCTGGCTACAAGTTTACTTGAACCGATTAGCAGTCCCAATCCTCCTCCTAGTTTTAAGGCATAAACTGGAGGATGGGGCAGGGACCCTGCAGCTGTGCCATGCTGGACCTGTATTTAGCGAAGCAACCCCAAAACACCAAGTGATCTTTTACAGGCCACTCACATATCCTCAACACATCATGGGAAGAGTCAAATTTCTGAACCAGGAGAGTGGTTGGACCTGGTGAACCTCTCCCAAGTAATTATTATAGTGTGATGGTTTGTTTCAAACAGTCAACATTTTCATCCACTTTCTTCAGAATATTAAATAGAAAAAAAATATATATATGTATATATATATATATATATACATACATATATATATATATCACATTTTTAACAAATGTTTTCCTTTAAGTCTTGAATGCTGTAACTACAATCAGCTTTGTTGTCTTGTATTATATGATCATTTTTTGGGGAGGTTTGGTACTATTTTATCCAGTTTTTAGTTGATGAAGAATTTGCCCGATGTTTGATGGCATGTAATTTACTAGAGCGTTACCCTGTTACACTGATTTATGAGCATTCTTTTTTAACAGAGCTTATAAAAATGTTTAGAGTTGATATGCCTTTATTTTTTTGTCTCTGCTCGCTCCATGGTATCAAATGTTATATGTAATATTGCTGGATTGTTGGTGTGCTGCACTGAAATCGTAAACAGTTACTTATCAGCCATGTTTAGTTGTCCCCTGAGAACACCTCCACCCTATGAGTGTTATGCAGTCCAAATAAGGAGCAATCAGCCTATGGTGACAACTCTGCTCCTCCGAAGAGTACAGCGAGTAAGTGTTGTCATCCAGGACAGTGTGTTACAGGTAAGATCATCAGCTTAAAATAAAGGGAAAACCTGAAAAAAAAAGAAAACCAATGCAGCCATCACATCTAAGGACTGGTAAGCTGCAGTATATGACATTTTTGCTTTGGGGTTAAGATACACTTTAATGATTTAAATGCAATACCATAAATCACCAAGACAGATTTTTCTTTCTAGTCCATCAGTGACTTAAAGAACCTATTATGACTAAATGTTTACACTTTGCTTGCTATATGATGATCTACTTACATTTATATAAAGCTGTCCATAAAACATATGTATAAACACAACACCCCATGTGTCTACAGATTTCGTGCAGTGACAAGTGAAACCTGAACATTTCAAGCAGTGCAATGCTGTAAGTATTGTTGTTCCTTTCTGAAGACATTTTTATATTTTTACTTGTTTAAATATATACATTTGTGTTTGTTTTATTATTTGTACTGTATATTTTGAACAAAGAGTAAACACAAAGAAACAAAGCAAATCTATTGTGCGGAAAGCAAACAAGATAATATAGTTTACTGCCTACACTTGTGGAGGGTCGTGTATCTAAACCCTAACAATGAACTTCTCTTATGTGGTCTTTTTGTTCTCTTCAATATACCATTGAAAGTGTTTTGTTGTAGCTGTTTTATAATGTCAAAGGAATATCTGTTGATCTTGCCAGAAATCTTGTGAACTTCCTCTGCTCTCTGCCTGTGCTGACTATTATCGGTTACATTGTTCATAGCTCTGAGGGCTACAAAACCATGCCCTCTATGTTATAAAGAATAGGAGATGGTAAGGGTTCTGTGGTTTCTGTAGTGTAGGCAAGCGTTGTCATCCTAGGTGTAAGGCCATAGCCGGGAGCTCACGCGCTACGACGCATGCGTGGGTCCCAGTCTCCCGGGTTGCCGGAAAACATGTGTTAGCACGCATGCGCTCACAACCGAATGGTGCCCAAAGGAAAAGACACATTGGCGCACAGGAAGTGACACAGTGGCACACAGGAAATGAGCCACGGCCCTCCAATAGATGTTCCTATTTAAACCAGCTGGCCCAATGGGTCAGTGCTGAACGGTCTTTCAGCTTGTGCTTGTGTTCCTGCTGATCTGCTGCCTGTTACCTCGACCCGGATTGCTGCTGACTTCGACTGATTGCTGCCTGCCCCTGACCTCTGCTTGTTATCTGGACTCTGCCTCTGCCTGCTCCTTCTTTACTGCGCTGACCGTCTGGCTTGACCCCTGGCTTGTTTGACCTCGCTCCAGTTTCTGCTGCAAACCTCGCTAACATCACAGCTGTGCACCTGCCTCTTCAGCTAATCGGTCCTCCACCAGGTACGTGATACTAGGACTTGAAGTGTATTACTGGTAAGAGAAAATTAAGTACAAAAAGGTTGAAAAAATAAAACTAAAGCCGCCACCACAAGTACTGGTAAGCTGCAATATGTAACATTTTTGGTTCTGGGTTTAGATACACTTCAATATTTCTTAATTTAAGTATTGCTGGTTGCATGCTAATCTGAGATATGCGAATCTCTCTATATATACAGTTTAGCATAGGTTGAGTTAAGCTATATTTAAGTATTGCTGGTTGCCCGCTGATCTGAGATATGTAAATTAGTGTGTATATATAGTATAGGAAGGGTGAGTTAAGCTGTTGCAGTTACATTTTAATAAATTATTGGGGGTTTTTTAAGCTAAACTCCAAGCTAACAGCTGAATACACAGTTGGAATCCATATATGTCAACTTTTTCCTAGCCAAGAGAATTCTGTGCAACCAGGGGTGTGATTCAGAAACACCTGACACACAGCACAGCCTGTCCTGGACCTTCACTGCTTTCAAGCGGCACAGCTTGGTCCAGGAACCAACCATAACCCGCTGAATAAACAATGATGGAGCAGCTACATACTGATAGGCTATGTGCTCTATCCCCTTCTGTCTTCATGTTTCCAGTGTTAGACTGGCAATACTGCAATAAGATTGGCACCTAGCTGTCCCTAACTGACCCTCTCTCTCCCAATCAGTGTGCAAGAGATTACAGGAAGATAATATAAAAAGAAACATTTAAGAACTATTAACCCTGCATCTGTAATGAATACATAATTGCATTGTCTGTCTTTTTTCAATATCTGCTTGGATGTCAACCTTAATTAGGGGATTAAATATACTCACATGAGCCAACACAATATCTATATAAAGTGCTTCATAGAGGGAAACATAACCAACTTTTGGATGTGTATGAGTTAACAAGTAAGTGTCCATCTAATGGTTTTTAATTCTAGAGAAATGTCTAATACTGTACCCAATAGGGCAGGTTAATTAATATAAGCACATTTGACCCCATCTGGGGTGATTAATGGACTCGGTGATTGGTAGTGATAAGTAAAACATCCCCTTCAACACATCACACCATTTTTTTTTTGCCAGCTGAATGATTATTTTTCTATTAATTTAACGTGATTGCTTTTTTCTTGATTTCTTAATTATGTTTGCACAAACTAGTGATGGGTTGATTAGCATTTATAATACTGCTATCACGGCAAAATTTTAATCCTTGTATGAAATCACCATTTATTGTTAGTTTAACACTCGGGGATGAGGACCAAAATAATTAAAACCGCTTCATGTACATCAGAGATGTAAGAAAACAACAACAACAACATATTTACCTTGCTCCTGGCTTTATTTAACGTAAACATTGGATTCATTATCATCTATTCATGATTTCACAACTAGCGAATTTTGGAAGCAAAGTTGCATGGCAAATTACAGCAAGATGAAAGCAATTAAACATTATATTTCCAGCCATGTGCAACATAAATATTTACAGCTAGAACTTTGTTGGGGTTTTTTTTTTTCTGTTTGTTTTTTTAGATAATAATTGTTATTCTACTCAAAAAGGGTTTTATCAACTTTCTGGTAGACAAAGGAAACTCGAGCGGTAGGGGTCTGCGGTATCAGAATTATACATATCTAGCCATCCAGAGACATGAATTTACTGCTTTTCTTTTGATATCAAATACACAGGGAGCATATCCCAGTGAGCATGAGTCTGAATGTTATACAATATGCTATCAATGGATACACTGGGGGCTCTACACATGGGCTCTTACATAGGAATGATTCCACTGACCAACCATTACAGTAGCAGGCAAAATAAACTGTCCCATTAGGATACTGGACCTCTGCTGCAGGTGTAAGGAGGGTTTGAGATTGGTGGTACCCCAGTCACTCACTCAGACAACTGACTTTTTTTCAGGTGTTCTATGATTCGACATAGTGGTGGAGGGTGAGAATGATGTTACGATCTCCGCCTCATCTAGAGTACACCTTGTGTATATTTAAAAGAATATAAAACATTCTCTAAATGGTGGAGGTGCCAAACGAGCGACTCTGCTCAGTATACAGATGGCAAGTCACTGAAGCAGCATTGGGAACAGAACATGAGCTGACTGTATATAGCACAGAATACTACAGTGAATTTCTGCATCCCCAGTGGCCCTCCAGATGTGACATATGAAGAGTTAGATGTAACCAGGCTACTACAGTGAATTTCTTAATCTCCAGCAGCCCTCCGGATGTGAGATATGAAGAATTAGATGTAACCAAGCTACTACAGTGAATCCCTGCATCCCCTGTGGCCCTCCTGATGTGAGATATGAAGAATTAGATGTACCCAGGCTACTACAGTTTATTTCTGCATCCCAGCTGCCCTGCAAATGTGAGATATGAAGAATTAGATGTCACCAAGCTTCCACGGTGAACGTCTGCATCCCCAATGGCCCTCCCGGGGTAGATGGCAGTGTTTATAGTTATGTTATACAGCATCTATGGTATATGCTCTGTTGTATTGATTAAGGTAGAGAATAAAGCTGGGGCCCTCTGGATATGAGATGTGAAGAAATAGATGTAATCAAGCTACTAAAGTGAATTTCTGCATCCCCAGCGGTCCATCGGATGAGAACTATGAAAGAATTAGATTTAGCCAAGCTACTACATTGAATTTCTGCATCCCCAGTAGCCCTCCAGATGTATGAATGAAGAATTCGATGCAACCAAACTGAGCCAATGTAAGTTTAAAAAAAATATAATTTCTGGAATTTAGCTTTAAGTTGTACTTCCTGTTGTATGTGAATGAATCATTATTTATCAACACAAATGACAGATGTTTAATTAATAGTTCACATAGAAATGTAAATTGATGGGAACACAAAACATGGGAGGAAGCTGTATGCAATAACTACTATGTTATTGTTTTTGCAATGCACATTGTTACACTGACTTGGATGATGTATTATATAATGTAAAATTCCTCGGAAAGTGCAGGAGTCCCACACATCAAAGAATTGACTGTTCTGTCCTGCAGCAGTTTGAAATCCCAGCGCAGAGTGCAGTAATATGATTTGTAACTTAATAAGGAACCCAAGCAGAGCAGAGATGTGCATTATTGAAAAATGAACTTTTCAAACTTTTGGCAAGATCAAGGTTGGACAAAAGGTCCACTGTGTGAGCAAAACTGTAAACAACTATCTTGATATGATGAGTCACAAGTGCAGAGAATTGGAGCATGTGTCAAAAACTGATTACAAAAATGAAAGTTGTAAAATTACAAATGTTGTGCTGCAATATATAGAAAAATAATACCCTGCAGCTTAATTTCCCTCCTAATATTGAAAAAGAACTCCAAAGCAGAGGTGATGAAATGGGATGAATGTATAAAAGCCTTGTATCTATATTCATTCTATGTATTTCCATTTGACAAGTGGACTTTTAAGGCCTGTGTAGACAGGCTTTTGTTTGCTTCTGGCTTGCATTAGGCCTGCTTTAAGCTGATTTTGAGTTCCCATGGGCTTGTATTCGGAGAGAAGCAAATCCAAAGATCTGCTTCTCTCGCAATACAAGCCCAAGGAAAATAAAAAGCATCTTGAAGCAGGCCCAATGCAGGTCAGCAGAAGGTCAACTGCTGGTCAAATGCAACTGTAAATGAAATCTGAAAGATCTCAGTTCACATTACTGTCCACCGCCCGCAGTCAGCCAAGATTGACGCGTTTCAGGGGAACGATTATTCTGATGAAGGGGGCTTGCCCCTGAAACGCGTCAATCTTGGCTGACTGCGGACGGTGATGTGACCTGAGGCTACCATGTTGGGTTAACAGACAGTGTGGCCTCTCGTTTGTTGTTAAAGCCTGATGAAAACGTTTGTTTGTGAATACTTTTATCCCTTGTTTTATTTATTGTAATAAATGATTTTACACACAGAGGTGGCGCTCTGTTCCCTTTTGTTTTCTATGTTTGTGGTGGAAGCCCCAGAGCCTTGGATGTGCAGCCCCTCAAGTCTGTGTGATAAACTGTTGAAAACTTTGAGTGTGTAACAGCAAGTGGATTGTTCAGCTGGCAGCCATTAGCGCCAAGAGTTAAAGAAAACTTTACTTCTATACTGTCCCCTGAACCCTACATTGAATAATGATGTATCTGAACTATTAAATGGAGTGTGGCTCTTCAATTCACAGTCCTGCAATTTGACACTACAAACCAAGTAGACAGTGGAGACCGTCTAGAATGTATTAGTCACATGTCCGGTAGTCAGATAACCTATATTGACTCTTTCACATCTTAATTGGCCAGCTACACCAATAGGATAAACCTTTCAGGTCCAGTACTTTTAATCCATTTTTTTCCAGGAGTTTAAAAAAACGTACCCTTGCAGTGGGGCTACCACCGCACGTCAAGGGTTAAATGCTCATTTTGTCTCGGGCGCTCAAATAAAACAGATATACTCAGATATAATCACCTGATCCTCAGTCCCATGGCGGTCAGCGCTGACCTCTCTCCTCCTCTGCGTCCTCCCGTCTAATGCAAGTCAATGGACCTGCATTAGACCTGATAATATCAGCAGTTCTCAGACCGTCGGAGCCCAGGAGAGAAGAGGCTGCAGGGACCAATCTAGCAGCCCAGTGGGTCCGAGGATCAGGTAAGTATATCTGTTTTATTTGAGCACCCTGGACAAAACGAGCAAATTTACCCCAGCAGTGTGGCAGTAGGTCCAGTTCTTTATAATCCCATAGTTCTTCTTCTAACCAACAAAGAGACTTGATCAAACCCTTATGTACCATAGTGCAGCATTCTGAAAAAAATGAAGAAAGTGCTTATGGGAAAAAGAAACGTACCTGTGAAGGATTGTAGAGGGGAACAGCTCCAGGCAGCTGGCTCATGTGACTCCCAGTGACAGACGCATTTGGATAAATCCCCTAATGAAGCAAAGGGTAACAAGCATAAGTACACAGACCTCAGAATTTTAACCCCACACTCCCCTGATCTAATGGTTTACCATGTTTTCCTGCTGACCCCGGATATCTGGTAATACTGAACCGCTATTGATCTTCTGCCGATCTTCACTTTCTTTCTTTCCTGCCAAAGAGTACATTATACAAAGGATTTGTGACTCGGCTTTGATATAAGGGCACCGCTGTTATGCACCGATGGGAGTTTTGAACAGTGTGTCATTATTTCTTTCCCAGCGGTATCAAGGAGTTTCAGGGAGTCATATCAAACACTTCACACGTCAACATCAAGCTAGAGCAATATTCAAGCGCCTGCTGGAATCGCCCTAATCAGACCATGTAAGATAATTAACATATTGACATGGAATCCTATATAGAACCCTAGAAGCGGTTCATTATAGAAGCTATGCCTTTATATATAAAGGGAATTCATAATATGTTTTTGCTTTTTTATTCAAAGAAAAATGTGTCATCCTCAGCTGAAAAGGCCAAGTCCTCCCAAAACCAAGATTTCAGATTTTGCTGTATGTTAATTAGTTGATTCTTATTGCACTTGAGCTCCCACCTCTGCTGCACCATTAAATCAGCTATACGCATTAACAAAAAGTCTTACGTCTAATGCTGCATACTTCATATTACCCAAAGTAAGTTAGTTTGCTAAAAGCATCGCAGCTAGGTAAAATCTTTGCATTCAGGTTCCTGAGATCTAAAGCGTATCTCTAGCCTTAAAGTGTTACTAAACCCTGCATATTAAAAATCTTATATAGCAGCATACCTCAGTTCCTCCATTGCTTGCTATGTGCTTTTCATTTGCAGCCTCCCAGTTCATTTTATTCAGCCATTAAATCATCTCTATCCTCCAGTGCCATGAATAGGGTGGCTCCGTTCCCATGTATGGTCTCCTGGAGCCACCCTTATGTGTGTGCTTCTGGCCGCACTACATCTTGATAGGCTGGCAGCTCCTAAGCCCTGCATCCAAAGCCATGCCCCTCCTCCTCCAATGCCATTGGTTAGACTGGCTGCTGAGCTGGTACTGGATGGTGACAATGTGTGCACAATGCACCCACATTCGGGTAAGCGGCGCAGAGCAAGCTGGAGGCAGGTGACACTAAACACACCAGTTGAAAGTGTCTTAACTTTTTGAAAATCTAACATTTTATGTCATATGCTCAACTGAACAGTACAAATGTAAATATGATAAAAACTGTGAGGTTTTCAAGCTTCTTTAGGTTTTTGTTAGATGCCTACATCTCCTACCATGCACTGGGGTTCCATCCACCACCCCTTACAGGACACAGTAGTAAAATAGGGCTGGAAAAGAAGAAAACACAGAGGGAGACCAGACATCACCCAGAATGTGTGCTGTTAGTGGAGGCGCTCTTCTGGGTGTTTCGAATGCCTGGTTTCCAGCCGTGCTCTGTGGTTCCTCCTATATGCCTCCCATAGCCTCTATGTCAGCACTTAGTCCTGTACTGGCGTAGGAGCTGGCAGATGGGACCACAGCGTGCAGCAGGAGATTCAGACATCTAACACTCAAGGAAGTGTCGGATGCTGAACACTCCGCCAGGAGCTGTAGCTCCTGAATACAGTGAAGTCAGATCCTGAATACTACTGAAGAGGTAAGTATTATATAAGGAATCTTTTCTTTTTTTTTTTCAATCTATAGCACAGTCGCTGGACCAATTCTTTCAACAACAATCTTCCCATAGGATTACATATGCATTTAACATATTTTAGGCATATTAATTAACTGTATGAGGCTCGCTTGTGTAGACATCCAAAAGCCCAGAGACTTCTGCTGGCTACCGACATCTTGGATGTGATGTCAGCAGCCCCAGCAGACTCAGGACAGTCACTCAAGTGACACTCTATGGAAGGGGGAAGCAAACTCTGAGCCTCCAGCTGTTGTCCAACTACACATCTCATTAGGCACTGCAAGACTTAGACAGCCATAGGCATGACTCCCAGAGGCAGACACATGATGGGATTTTTAATTTGTAATGACACGTCTTCATGTAAAATACTGCAAGTCCAGTTGCCTTGATTTACTTTTTACAGATCTAGTGAAGAAGTCAAACTAGGAAATTAAAAAACACATTTAATAAAAATGGGACACTCAAGTGTGACCATAAAGCATTTATAATATTTTACTTTTATGTGCATTTACCAACAATTGTTTTTACATTTGTGATAGGGTCTCTTTAGGTTAGATGTGCTTTCTCTTTCTTTGTGTGGGTTCCATGGCAGTGATCATTAAAGTAGGAAAATAAAAACCACATTTAATAAGAAAGAGAGTCATGGAGCGCAAGGAAAAGAGGGAATTGGGCGGAATGGCAACATGGCAGGGTGAGAAGGGGAGCCAGAGGGTAAAGGTTTAAAAGTACAGGAAATAGGGAGAAGGGGTGGCTTACCAGTTTGTAGGAGGTCCACAGGGGGGTGGGATTACCAGAAAGGGTCGGCACGTGGATCCCAGGATCATTCTGGAAGAGAAGACGCCGGGAGCAGACGAGGAATTTCCCGCCCGCCCGCCCTGAAGGAGGTTTCGATTTTGTTTTGCTCTTCCTTTTATTGCTGTGTTTTTTGGGCTGTTTTGAGTGGGTTGGGGTTGCATCTAGTCATGGCAGTCTGGTGGCGGTTTGGGGTCCTTGAAGGCGTTAGGGATGCCGTGGGTTTATTGACAAGGATTGGTGACCCATCATAGGTGTGGTGTCCTTTAAGTGGTGGTCAGTTGGTTTGACCACTTAGTTTTGGCGGTGAAGTGTCTGTGGTTTAACAGATATTGGTCCCCGAGGCGGTAGTTTGCGGCTGGGGGCCCTATTAGTAATATCGAAAACCGCAGATACAGGTATGGGACGGCATTCTAGTTATTTGAAGCGCCTTCAGGGATCCGGAAACCTGGGTTTAAACTGGATAAATGTGTTAATTGTTTATGAGTATATATAGCAGAGTTATTTTTCTATTCAAGTTTGTATTTATTTTGATAAGGTTATTAAAAATACAAGTGGCTGCTGTGGCCTTTGAAAATCCATACAAGTTTGGAGTGCCTTATTTTGAGGAGAGTGGTGGTGGGGGGAGGTCACAGTAGAAGAGGGGGTCCCTCTGAAAATACCCTTGTCATGTGACAAGTAAGCATTTACAATATTACTTTTATGTGCTTTTACTAGCAATGTATTTACTTTTGTAACATGGTCTCATTAGGGTAGATGTCGCTGCCTCTTGCCTTGCGTGGGTTCCATGGCAGTCCATGGCAGTGATCAATATCAGTAACATGTTCTCATTACACAAATATTGTTTTTTTGAGCATTGCGGTATTTTGCATAAAGTGCAAGGCAATCTCATGTGTGTGGTGTATGGGATATCTACATCCACCGTCCTCCTAATTTTTCACCTTACAGATTGATAAATAACATTCCTAACAGCATTTCCCCGTTGTGCTAGTGTAGACTTTGGTTTGTGGTCAATCAATAATTAAAAAGCCTGTAGTCTGTTTTATGTGTATATCCATTGATAGATTGCTCGAGCAATACACTGGGGCAGAAGGATCAATGTACAGAAAAGGGCAAGCGGGCGTTTATTTTACTGTGTTGATCCATTTTCTGTCGGCATCAGCGTTCTACGCATAAATTGTTAGGCAAAGTTTATGCCAGCTGACACCAGGGAGAGGTGTTTTTTGGAGGAAAATCATCTTATTGTATTCTGCACTGCATATAAATTGTCTGAAATATGTTCACAAGCTGAATTCAAATCAACAGGATACGTCACTAAGTTCTGCACGATGCAAAACTAAGTATACATCATGTACATTTTTTCCTGATACATTTGAAAGGACTGGCAAACAATGGGGCTTATATAAAGCTGGACATACACTGTATGCAGGGCTGAAAGAGAATCATCACTCGATTCTCCCATCCACGCTACAGAGCATGGATGGAGGGATCTGTCGGTTATTGTACTCTGACAGCCAGCACCCGCAGTTGTCAAAATAGCCAAACAATAGCTGCAGTTGACTGGCTGCAGTCACTGTTCGGTAGACAATTTTCCACCCGTCTCCTTCTGCAAAAGTCTACTGATACAGAAGAAGAAAAAAATCGCATTTTTAGAAAGACCGGACAAAAGTTAGAACTTTTGACAGTGTTTAATTCGTATCTGTGCTTTCCTGTCCGGTGACAACCTCTCCAATTTATTTTCTTGAAGTCACAGGTGACATGCACAAATAAAAAACATTAAGCCCAACTCCACTCAAAGTCCACTCTACTCTACTCCACTCTAATTTATCTTGATAGGTTTTTTTCCCCTCCAGTTCCCTCGCTGATGCGTTTTCTGCAGGCGGAAGTAAAGTAGATGATGACGTGGATGATCACGTGTTCGCGAGGCAAGTGAAAAACAGGAATTTTCGTTCAGCCTAGTGATGGCGCGGAGGGGGGGCTGGAGAGGGAGGGATGGGAGGTTTTTTTTATTTTTACCCTGAAATTTGGCTTTAAAAAAATTCTAACCCTCACCCACTCTATCCACAACTGAAAAAAAAATGGGCTTATCTATGTTTCTGCAATAAGAAAAGAAACATTGACCAAGAATTTCTTCACAGCTAACAGCTATGTTCATTTCTACAATTGCTGCTCCAGGCAGAAGAAAACTTAACCCTTGCAGTGGAGCTACTACAAGGGTTAAGTGCCCATTTTCATCTAGGGTCTATAATAACAAACATATGCTCACCTGAACCTTGGTCCCACTAGGCTGCTAGATCGGTCCCTGAAGCCTCTCTCCCCATCTGGCAATCTAAGAAGCCCCGCTCGTGATGCAAGAGAGCTAGTCCTAAACACACTTACTGCAGGTGTCTTGCTAAGAAGATTCTCATCCTCCAATGTAATCAACCAGTTAGGCTTACCTTGTATCTGGAGCCATCATACCAATTATCCCTCAGGATCCCTCCAATTGTATCAGTCCTGTACACGCTTTCTTCAACAGTACTAAACCCTGATGAAGAGGGAACCTTTACACCCCTGAAATGCATTGGCTTTTTATGAAACAAAAGTCTGAACAAAAGAATCTGGACTTTATATGTTCTGCTTTTGGCACTTTCCTCCTGGCAAACCCAATCCCTGCTTTACTGCTGGTCTGTACCACAAAGACCATACCCAAATACCCAACCCCCTCCTGATTTTTGAATTTTTCTCTAGTGTAGTCTTGGAGCTCAAAAGTATCGGTACACGTACTGGTACTTGTACCGAGTACTGTACATGGTATCTGTGCAACACTATTTGAAATAAATCCTGTCCTTGAAGGAGTGGACTATCCTGTTGGCCTTCTACTTAAGCTCCCACTGGTAAGCTCAGTTTGAAAATGAATCCACATAAAACAGACAAGATATTATTTATTCCCCTCTTTTACTATAATTCATAAAAGTATTCAGTTCATAAAAAATACTGGTCATGATTACTAATAATATTTTTAAACATTAAATCACATACTGCCTTACTTTGCAAGATTTTATGATGTTCATTCATCCTGCATTTAGAATGTAATATTTAGTTTAATTTTTATCGGGATTTTATTACAGTGATTTTTACTAATATAATCTCTTGAATTGATAAATGTGTTAAAGATACAAATACTCTTATGACTTCATTAATAGATATTAATATATATGTAGCTATGTTTTTTATTAAATATA